CCTGAAGGTGCTGACTCTCACCGGGATACAGTTCCTGAGGGGGCTGACTCTCACTGGGGGACAGGTCCTGAAGGTCTGGCAGCATCTGTGAAGAAAAATCAGAGTTAATGTTTCAGGTCTGACCCGAAACGTTAATTCTGATTTTTCTTTACAGATGCTGCCAGAGCTGCTGAGCTTTTCCAAGAACTTCTGATTTTGTTCCTGATTTACAGCATCCAAAGTTCTTTTCGTTTTCACTTCCTGAAGGTGCTGGCTATGACTTGGATACACTTCCTGAAGTTGCTGACTATTTTTTACTGATTTCCTTTCTTAAAGGTAAGTTGCAAACCTGTTGAATTTTAACAATGTTCTAACAGCTTCACTCTCACTGTTACTTATACTGTTTTACTGACAGATTTTTAAAATTGAATACAAGTTCTGAGGCACTCACAGTTTGATCTGAACTTACATACGGCATATATCTTTATACACATATAGTAGATGAAATATATATTTGTACATTAGTATTCACATACATTATATAGATTTCCATGTGAAAATTGGCATTGTCACCAAGGATCATTTGCCCTCTCTCATGAGAGAGATGGTTGGTGGTGAGTTCATCCTGACTGTTACCATGGCTCAGGTGAGATACAGGATTGAAAAGGCCAAAGCCTGTCTGGGCATTCAACCTGTAGTGTTGGTACTACTCTCCATTGCGAACCAGCCACTCAACTGACTGAGCCATACCAAACGTACACTCAGACACTTCACAGCTACTATCACTGAAAAGCTCAACAGACATAGAACATAGAACATTACAGCGCAGTACAGGCCCTTCGGCCCTCGATGTTGCGCCGACCTGTGAAACCAATCTGAAACCCATCTAACCTAAACTATTCCATTATCATCCATATGTTTATCCAATGACCATTTACATGCCTTTAAAGTTGGCGAATCTACTACTGTTGCAGGCAGGGCATTCCACACCCTTACTACTCTCTGAGTGAAGAACCTATCTCTGACATCTGTCCTATATCTATCACCCCTCAATTTAAAGCTATGTCCCCTCGTGCTAGCCATCACCATCCAAGGAAGAAGGCTCTCGCTGTCCACCCTATCTAATCCTCTGATCATCTTGTATGTCTCTATTAAGTCACCTCTTAACCTTCTTCTCTCTAACGAAAACAGCCTCAAGTCCTTCAGCCTTTCCTCATAAGACCTTCCCTCCATACCAGGCAACATCCTGGTAAATCTCCTCTGCACCCTTTCCAATGCTTCCACATCCTTCCTATAATGCGGCGACCAGAACTGTACGCAGTACTCCAAGTGCGGCCGCACCAGAGTTTTGTACAGCTGCAACATTGTCAGTGGTTTTCCCCATTCTCTAGCTGAGAAATATTGAAACCAGTTTCAGGGTGTGGAGTTAACCCTCTCTACTCCATCACATATTCCCATAAATCTACACAAACCAAGAAGGTGAGTTGTTGTTAGGATGGCACTTGACAGCAATCATACGTGCACTGGACATCTGTGACCTACGACAAATTTTCCCTTTCCTTCTTAATACTCTTTATTTTCAACTTTTCCTCATCTCAACTCTATAAATACCTATATTCTATAAATTATCTATCTTCCAAGCTATATAAGAATCTATCCACTGACCCGATCTCCAGTTCTCACAAAATTCACAAAATTCACTTTATGCAAAGCTGAGCCTTTGACAATTGGTGAACCCTTCTCCTCCTGAGGAATCTGCACATTTGCATCTGATTAATAAATATTTGATGATACTTACAGCTCCTCCCTGGGGACCAGCAGGTCCTGGAATTCCAGATTGTCCTGCATCTCCCTACAGGGAAACAGACAGGGAGAAAAGTTTCCTGATTATTTTATAAACACGCATTGTCTACTATCAATCAAAACATGACACTCCAATGCACACCTATTCATGGGGTATGTGAAGATGAGGGGAAGAGGAATGCTGTATTGTTATTGCATTGTCCCACTCATAATAAAAGTTGCAGCTACTGTTTGGAGGGTTATTGGCTTCACGCAGCTTTGTGTCTGTTATTGTCACTTTCTCTTGGGGGCACAAACAAAGCGATTGGGCTGGAACGTGGAGTTAAAATCAGCTGCAATCTTCTCAAATGGTGGAGCTAAAGGGGCCATGAGGTCTCTTCCTGGTTCTATTGTTTATTTTCTGAGGATAGTGTGTGACATTTTGGAATTTCATATTGATCTAGGGAGTGAATCATTCCATTTCACCCGTTATGTGTATGTACAGCAACTAACAGAGTTAAACACACACTATCAGACAGAAGTCAACCTCTGCAATTGCAAAGACGAAGCATATAATCTAGGCTAACATCTCAGATTTAAGTACAGCCCTGACTAAAGAGCTGTTCTTCAGATAATGCATTGAAGTAAGACCATCAGAAGATACTAAAAGATGCCAGGAACAAAGATTTCTTCCTGGTGTGATGGCTAAAATTCATCCTCAACTAACATCAGTATGGAGTGTCGTCAAACCACTATCATATTGGCTGCCATCTTTCCTTCATTACAACAGTGACTGCATTTTGGAAGCATTTTGTTGGCCGTAAAGCACTTTAGGATGTCCTGAGGGTGTGAAAAGTATTATAGAAATACAAGTTTTTTTTCTTTCTTTACCTACCATGTGTGCCAGTTTACTGGAGGTAATAGCAAAATCTGATCATTTATCTTGGACAGAGAACTGACGTAGGGACTTGTCAGCCACTAAAACTAACACTCATACAACCCCTCCCACCTCAACTTCTGGGGAGATCCAAACTGTTTGTTGGAGGGACCAGCAGTGAGGTTATGGATTAGATCTCAAATTCATGGGGAAGCTTCACCTGGAGTTGACTTTTTTTGAATGAGAAGTAAAGTCTGCATGTGTGATCTGCAGATAATTTAAGTAGGCATCCAGAGAGATGCTGTACTGGACTTAAAGCTCAGTGAGGAATACAATGCTGCTCATTAGGCATCCCCCCCCAAATAAACCACATCTTTTCACCATTAAATACCTTCATACCAGGAACCCCAGGGGTGCCGTCCTTGCCATCGATGCCCGGTAATCCCTGTAATAAACCACACAGGACAGAGTAACCAGAGAGAGTCAAGTGCATGGAGAATTAATACATTTGTGCAAGTTTATACAGCAGGAACATTCAGCACATCACTTCTTATTTTCCAGTGAGGAACAGATGCTACAGTCATCTAGGGCCTTTTCTTAAATTGTTCATTTGTGGGATGTGGGTGTCGCTGGCTGGCCAACATTTCTTGCCCATCCCTAGTTACCTTGAGAAGGTGGTGGTGGCTGCCTTCTTGAACTGTTGCAGTCCACCTGCTGTGAGTTGACCCACAATGCCATTAGGGAGGGAATTCTCTCACCCTTTTGACATATTGTGTTCAGCCTAAGAACCGGTCTTTAGGGAGGAATTATTGGACCAGGAGGGAATGGAGCATGAAGTCACCAAAATGATCCCAGGACTAAAGGGTTAAATCATGAGGACAGGTTGAAAAAAAGTTACAGTTTTGTTTCTCTCTCCTCCAATCTAAAACTTTGAGTCTAGTGTAAATGACAATTATAGCTATTGGCCTGTGAAATACATGGCACAGCTTGCTTCCTTTATTTGCCACAAGAATGTTAATAGTAATAAATACCCAGTCAATACATGATAGACATTTTAACTTTCTTAAAAAAAGTTGTTTTGAAAAAAGTAACACTTTTTAACTGTGTAACTTAAAGATGACAGTGTTTACAAAAAAATGTCTTGTTGAAAGAATTAAGTTACTGAAGGTCCTGCTCTTAATCACACATGATGTTCTGTTCCTCCACAATGGCAGTGAAATTGTTCCTTTCTTTGAACTGAAAGTCAAGTAGATTTTCATCCCCAACCCCCATTCTCTTCTTTATTTTCAAAACATAAAATACATTCCTTTACGTATATATAAAGAGTGAACTTATCTTGTTTTAATTCATTCATGGGACATGGGCACCCCTGGCCAGACCATCCCTTATTGCCCAGAACGTAACCCCAATGCTGTGGGTCCGGAGTCATGTGTTGGCCAGACCAGGTAAGGGCAGCAGATTTACTTCACTACAGTACAGTAGTGACTTGGATGGGCTTTATGACAATTGACAGTGGCTACATGGTCATCATTAAGCCAGATCTTTGAGTTATTTAGCAAGATAAAAGGCGTTAATGGCAAGCCCTGGGGCCATTTTTCCTTGGAGCATCAGAGGCTGAGGGGTGACCTTTTAGAGGTTTCTAAAATCATGAGGGGCATGAATAGGGTACATAAATAAGGTCTTTGCCCCAGGGTGGGCAAGTCCACAACTAAAGGGCATAAGTGAGGTGATGGCCCAATGGTATTATCTCTAGACTGTTAATCCAGAGATCCAGATAAAGTCCTGGGGATCCGGTTCAAATCCTGCCACAGCAAATTGTGGAATTTGAATTCAATAAAATATCTGGAATTAAGAATCTAATGATGACAATGAATCCATTGTTGATTGTTGGAAAAGCCCATCTGGTTCGCTAATATCCTTTAGGGAAGGAAACTGCCATCCTTACCTGGTCTGGCCTACGTGTGACTCCAGACCCACAGCAATGTGGTTGACTCTGAACTGCCCTCTGGGCAATTAGGGATGAGCAATAAATGCTGCCAACCAGCGACGCCCACATCCCGTGAATGAATAAAGAAAGAAAAAAAAGGTTTAAGGTGAGCGGGGAAAGATTTAAAAGGGACTAAGGTGCAACTTTTTCACACAGAGGGTGGTGCGTGTACGGAATGAGCTACCAGAGGAAGTGGTGGAGGTGGGTACAATTACAACATTTAAAAGGCATCTGGATGGGTACATGAATAGGAAGGGTTTAGAGAGATTTGGGCCATATGCTAACAAATGGGACTAGATTTATACAGGATATCTGGTTGGCATGGACGAGTTGGACTGAAGAGTCTGTTTCCATGCCCTACAACTCTATGACCCTATAATTTGATGGGGTGCACAGATAGAAAGAAGCTATTGTCTCAGGTAGAGAAGTCAAAAACAAGGGGCACAATTTTCAAACTCCAAAAGTTCAGGGTGATGTCTGGAAGCATATCATCAAGGTCAGAAACTCTCTCCATAAAAAGCTAGTGAAAATTTCAAAATTCAGACTGATGAATTTTTGTGGGCATGGATTTTATGGAAGCAAGGCAGGCAAACAGAGTTAGTCGAGATCAGCCATGATCTAGTTAAATGGATGGAGAGACTGATGGCTCCCCCTTGCTCCCTTGTCTTGTAGATTTGACAGGTCCCCGTGATCCAGAGCTACTTCACCCAGCAGCTACTTTCACATCAGTCAGCATCATATTCAGCTACATAAGGCTTCACCTTGCAGCCTGATTCAGCCCTCCATTCAACATCAGAAACTATGCTATCCAGTGCTAATTATCAGGAGCAGAAACACCATCACACAACACCCCAGTAAGTTTCTGGCTAAGATCAGCTATGCACATATATATAGGTCCAAGATAAAAACCCAGAGAAACTCTGGGCAGTTCAATTCCACATTAACTCGAGAGCACAAGAGACAAATAAACCTGGACAATATGGTCAAAACAATACACTGGCTGGAGGCATTCACACCCAATTGTGAGCTGATTGTTGTTATTAATTAATTAAAAACATGACTTACATTTTGTCCCTTCAGTCCACTTTGACCTTGACGTCCACGTTGCCCTCGTACTCCCTGCAAAGTGATAGGACAGTCAGACATCAGGCAATGAGTATAGGGCTGGGCAACTAGAGACTTTATCTGTCTGAATACATTTCACAGGCAGGAAAAGGATGTGATACACACTCTAAAGCATAGCAGAGGAATAACAGCAACCACAGACACAGCCTTCATTATGCACATTAATGTCGATGTGCAGTGTACTGTAAATGGAAGCAATTCTTCAGTCCCAGAATGGATCTATATTCAAACAGTAGTGTAGGTCTGAGAACCAGGATTACTAAGTGGTCTACACTAAGAACCAAGGTCCACAGTCCCACTTACTCTGATTGTGAGGGTTAACTCTTACAGGTAAATTACACTACAATTAACACAGCTTCCTATTCAGTTAATTGTTTCAATCTAATTGTGATGTTCATCGCTGGGATTCCATGCATGTAAGTATTGAATGAGCCTGAACTTCCACAGTGCCTGCCTACTCCAATGTTTGAGGTGTGGGCAATAGGACTCTGAGCTGTCCTTGGAAAAGGCAGTGCCACATCTTGAATCAAATTACCTGCTGAACACAGTGGCATGCAAAAGACAATCAGGTTTTCCAATGCTGCATCATTTTTTTTTCTATTTGTACCTGGGAGATGGACATTCCAAACAAGGCCAGTATTTGTTGTCCCTTCCAAATTGCACTTAGGATGATTTTGGTAATCCATTTTCCTAAGCCACTGCAGGGTTCACATAATAAAATTACACCCACAATGCTGTTAGGAAGGGAGTGATATATTTCCAAGTCAGAATGGTGTATGGCTTAGAGGGGAACCTGCAGAAGGGGGTGTTCCCAAGTATCTGCCACCCTTGTTCTTCCACATAATAGTGCTTATGTATTTTGAATATCAAAGGAGGCTTTGTTATCTTGTACAGGCTCCGGTCATGGTGTGTCTTTGGTGCAGGGAGTGAACATTGAAAATGGTAGAATGGTGGATGAATGCTGATCAAGTGGAGTGCTATATCCTGATGGTGTCAAATCTTTCAGTGTTACTGGAGCAGCATCAATCCAAGAGAGTTGGGAGTATTCCATCACACTGTAGATTTGTGCCTTCTAGAAGGTGAAGTATTGGTGAGTGCGGTGGGTGAGTGCCGAGGTCAGTGCTAAGATGTGAAACATGTTACCCAGAATTCCTAGCCTCTGACCTGCTCTTGTAGTCACAGTGTATACATGGCTGGTTCAGTTACATTTCTGGTCAATGTTAACCCCCAGAATCATTCTCTGAACACTTCTGGCTGAAGATTGTTACAAATGCATCAGCCTTATCTTTTGCACTGATGTGTTAGGTTCCCCCAAGGTTCAGAATGGGGATATTTGTGGAACCTCCTCTTCCTCTGGTCAATCGTTTAATCGTTCACCACTATTTCTAACTGGGCATTGCAGAGTTTAGATCTGATCTGCTGATTGTGGGTACCCTTGGGTCTGTCTAACACCTGCCAATTCTGCTGTTCAGCAAGCAAGTAGTACTGAGTCATAGCTTCAGCAGGTTGAAACGTCAACTTCAGGTATACTTGCTGCTGCTCCCAATCTGTCCTCCTGTGCTCTTAACTGAACCAGGGTGGAACCACTGCTTTGATAGTAATGTAGAGTGGGGGCATGCAGGGCAATGAGGTTACAGATTGTGCATATATACAATTCTTGTTGCTGCTGATGGCCCACAGTGCCTAATGAAAGTTCAATTTTGAATTGCTACATCTTTTTTCAACCTCTCTCATTTAGCACAGTGGTAGAGCCACAGAACACAATGGAGGATATCCTCATTGACACAAAGTCCCACCTTCACACTCAGTCAGATACACATGTGAGAAGTAAATTAGTGAGGAGAAGGTCAAGCAGGTTTGTCCTTCCTGTTGGTTCCCTCACCACCTGCCACAGGCCAGGCTGGCTGATATGTCCTTCAGAACTCTGTCAGTGGTGGTGCTACCAAGCCACTGATATTCATTGAAGTCCCTCAGCCAAAGTGTATTTTGTGCCATTGAAATTCTCACTTCTTCTTTCAAGAGATGTTCAATGGAGAAATAGCGATACATCAGCTAGGAAGGGACAGAGTGATATGTGGTAAATCAGCAGGAGGTTTCCTTGCCCATGTTTGACCTCATGCCATGAGACTTCATGGGGTCCAGAGTCAATGTTGAGAACTCCCAGGGCAACCCCTTCCCGACTGTATACCACTGTGCTGGGTCTATCCTATCAATAAGACAGGGCATATCCAGTGATGGTGATGGTGATGCGTGGTAGGTATAAGTCTATGAGTACGACTGTGTCAGGCTGTTGCTTCACTAGTTCCAATTTTCACAGAATCAGAGAATCCCTACAGTGTAGAAATAGGCCCTTTGGCCCAACAAAGCCACACTGATCCTCAGAGCATCCCACCCAGACCTATCCCCCTATAGCCCACCTAATCTACACATTCCTGAACACTACAGGCAATTTAGCATGCCCAATCCACCTAGCCTGCACATCTTTGGACTGTGGGAGGAAACCGGAGCACGTGGACGAAACCCATGCAGACGTGGGGAGAATGTGCAAACTCCACGCAGACATTTGGAATTAGCTTCTAGACATTAGTAAGGATAGCGTTGGATGTGCCTTTGTCATGTTTAGTGCCTAGGCCACTGCTGGATGGTTTTATTCTTTATTAAATTTTCTGTTGGGTTGTGATAGAACGGAGCGGTTTCCTCAGACATTACACAGGGCAGTTAAAAATAGGCTGCATTGCTGGCAGTACATCAGCCAGACTGGGTAAGGGCAGAACTTTCTCTCCTCACAGTATACTTGTGTGGGTGTCATGCCAATCCAATTGATTTCATAGTCACCAGTATTCATCCTAGCTTTTCATCTGGGGTTTATTTCATTCACTGATTTTAACTTACCCAGCTACCATATTGGGATTTTAACATTTGGTTTGAATCTTGACCTCCTTCAGAGGGTGGGAGTGGGGGTACAGGTTTAGCACACAGGCTGCACTGTACTTGGTCACAATGCCATGAACATTGTTGCCATTACATAGCCACCCATGCCGCAACATTTTCTAATAGCGGGTAGCAGCCAGCACCAATCTGAATACCAAATACTTCCACTGCTCAGGTTGGTAGAAGGCAAGGAAAGGGTACCTCCTTTACCGCCCCCACGACGTACCATCCAACCGTCCTCTACTAGGTCACATTACCCCTCCCACCCCACCTTGACCACCCATGCCCCCTAATCCACCCCTTTTGCTCTTTGCATGGCAGTCTGTCAGCCTGATATTAGTAACATTCCCCGACTCACCCCAGGGGTCATCTCCGCAGTGACCTTTGTGAGGAAATAGATGCAGTCCCAACAGTGACTGCTGTTCCTGATAGCGCTGCTGGGGGAATGCCAGTATCTCTCAGAGGTGAGACTTGTTCCTGGGTGGGCTTAAGCCCACTGACCATTAAACTGTTGCGGAGCAAATTGGGTGGTTTACTCCTGACACTCGAACCAGGGAAGCAGGATGTTGGGACCCAGGCAGTATAGAAATTTGGAATCTCTGTGTTACAGCCTGCTAACGTTCCTTATCACTGTCCTGTACAAAATGGCACAGAGACTTGTCAAATTGGGATATCGCTCTCAGACTTCGGCTCTCCTGTGGAATCATACTGCTCCACCCAAAATCCCTGCATAACCACCATCCCTGGAGCCAAGAGTCCCAAACTGCACAGCTCTCGAGCTGAGCTGGGATACTGTGACCTGTGACAGTGTTGGACTACATCTCAATTATGCAGCATAAGGTTCATTTATTCTGTTACATTACATTCTGTTACACTGATGATGCTATCAAACTACATTGGTAGTTCTGGGACATGCTATGGTTGTGACAGGTGCTGTACAAGTTCCTTTGTTTTCATTTAGTTACACAAGGTGAGGGTAAGATGCAATAAAATACCCAAAGAACTGCAGATGCTGAAAATCAGAAACCAGGAGTAACTCACCCGCTCTCCTTTGTCACCAAAATCTCCAAGTGGCCCCTCAGGGCCTTGTTTACCCTGGAAGTAGAAAGAAAGAAATGCCATTACTTAGGACAATAAAATGACCAGAATTCAACAGTTCTGTGTGTAATGGTGACGTAGAATCTGGAGAATGAATAAAGAATAATTCACAGCAGCTTCCATCTCTTGACTCACTGAAAGTCACTTGCTGGCGCTGGCTCATTAGCACATTCCTGAGACTGATGGATTTTTCTTAAACTCCTTTGATTGCAACTTAACTTCACCACCATTAGCAGACAGTCTGTTATCATGGGAATTCTCCAATCAACAGCTTGCGTTCCAGACATGACAGAAACCCAGTTCATTTTTGTGAAGGGGTGGAAAAGGTTGAATCAAGCTAATTGTTTCCTATGGTGAAGAGTCCAAATCTCAGGAAACAACACAGTAATTAGTGGCAAAATCAAATCAAATACTTTCACCCAAAGGTTGATCAAGTCACAGGACCAAAGACTGCAGAAGGATATTGAAAGGGCGACGTTTAAGATACCAAGGAGCCAATTGTTTTGAAGCAATGGGTTTGAGGGGAATGTACAGAAGATATATAGGTGACCTAAAAGGCAAAAAATTTATACGGATCTGAAGAGATGTATAGATGACGCACAGAGATGACGTGAGAATATGGGGGTAGGGTTGAGGAATATAGGGAAAAAGTTGGTGAGGACGGAGTTCATCCATGGAAATGGGACACAGCTGTTGGGCTTACTAGAATTTTCCTGTTCTGAATAATCCCTGTCTGGCTGCTGGGAAGTTTATAATGAGAGATTTGTGATGGCTAAGGTAGAACTGAAGTCTGTCATGAGAAATGATTTGTAAACATCCAATGTGGCACCCATGGTCATTTGTGAGGCAAGTACAATGGATCCAGAACTCCACCATCTCACAACAGCCCACTGCACTATCATTTCATGTGTAAGGCCTTTAGTTGAGTGGTTTCTATGGACCAGCATTATACCTGATGAGGACAGATGAACAGTAATGTAATGGGATTGATGTTCCTGCTGGCTAGAAACACTTTGGTAATGATCGCCATTGATAGGAAGCCAGAAGGTGTTCCTTCAATCTTGTCACAGGAAGCAGCAACTCAAAGTTAGAGTGAAACCTTGAGAAGCACCCTCTGAAAATTAGACAAAGGACTGGTCTCTTTCCAAGGTAACTTTATATGAGTTAAATTGTGAGAGGGAAGGGGAAAGATTAACATAACAAATGGATGTTTGAACAATTAAAATCATTCCATGTTCTATACCAACTTACGCAGCATATGAGGATTTTGGCCCAGAATTGTATGAGTGCTATATGTTGTATAAGGTGTAAGAGTTTGAAAGTTTTAATGTTGAAGAGTGCCATAAATGCCACCCCTATGATGGTGTGATATGGACCTGGTGGGAGAAGAACACAGGAGCTCAATGCAGCAAGAGCTGGTCTTCCTCATAGTCTTTGGAACAAAGTCAATTTTATTAACGTTGCTTATATATACTGTTGTTACTATCATGCAATGTTTAAGACACGAGCCTCTTTCTGTTATATTACCAAGTGCTTTTTTTCTTTTCCACAGTAGACCAAGCAATAGTTCTTACTATTAGTTGCTAATCTACTAGACAGCTCATACAATGTGATGAGCAGTGGTGAAGATTCATCTTACAACATTATACAGAGAATCAGCTCTTGTCCTGTGAGGAAATGATCCACATTACTTAATTGTGTGCAATAGGCTGATGTAAATTCAACAGCACTAAATCAATAGGTTCTTCATTCTCACGTGGGATGTGCCATCGAACTGATTAGCTCCCTTGGCTATTTTAAAGGGCAGTTGAGAGTCAATCACATTGCTATGGGTTCTGGAATTTCACGTAGATCAGGTACAGGTGACAGATTTCCTTCCCTACAATCCTTTAGTGAACTAGAAGGGATTTTACAATAATCAACGATGGTTACATGGTTGCTATTAGACCAGCTTTTAATTCAAGATTTTTACTGAATTCAAATCTCACCAATTACCATGGTTGGATTCAAGCCCACATACCCAGAACATTGGTTTGAGCCTCTGGATTACTAAACCACTAGATAGCCACCATGCCTCTATTTCCCCATTGCTCCATATCACATAATCTTATGTTCTTCCATCTCCATAAGGGGGCTTTGACATTTTCTTCACAGAGATTTCACAGTTCCCCAACTTTCCCTATACAGCTGAAAGTATGCCAACTGATCTTACCAATGCGGTGACACTAGTGAGATCATCACTATTTTTTTCTTATTTCTCTCATTTTTGGTTTGGAACTGTGAGTTGCAGTTGAGAATTGCATTTGGAACTTTGATGAGTAGCTTGTTTTTAAAAGAAAGAGAGACAAAACACTGATGTATGTGGTTAGAAATTGGCCTGGAAAGATAATGCAGATTAATTACTGCTTTAAGAACTCTGTAGACAATTTGACACTAAGATGCTGTTATGCTCAGGGACTGGCAACTGATTGGATGCTGAATTTGTCAATCAAGGGAGGATCAGTAGTAGCCAGCCAACCACAGAGAATGCTGAAAAAGAAAGCGAAAAAAAAAAGAATGAACTGGCTCTGACGGAGATTTTGGGCATGAGACAGTTTATACTTTATAAGCTGCTGGACTAGGAAGCTCTCTCTAGTTATTCTCCAGTTATCAACTTGTTGAAAGTTCTGAGAAAAGAATCCTTGTCATAAGAAATAAGTTAGAGTCTCCAGAGGTCTCCAGAAGCTATATGCATTAACTGGTGACATTGGAATTCAAGGAAAGGATTTCATGAAGCATGACGTTCAAATGTTCATTGAACTGGAAAATTATGATTCTTTTCTTTTCCTTTCAATTTATCTCTTAACTCTGTCTCTCTGTCTATGGGTTTGTGAGTGGAGGATTATATTCAAAGAAGATTGATTAATATCTACAATCTAAGCCAGATTGTCTTGTCATTTATGTGTCCTACAAATAGTAATAACTTTTAATAGTTAATTAATTAATAAGTATTCTTAATTATAAATTGTTAATTTTTGTTTAAGTTATAATCTTCATGTCTAAGCTCTGTTATTTGTAAAGGCTGGTTAGGAATAACTCAGTTAGTTTGAGGATCGTTGAAAATTTTAATTTCACTGTTGTATTAATCGAGTGATTGTGAGGCTGATTTGGTTTAGCTTGCTATCCCTGTGTTGTAACAACACCAGAATTATATTTTCATGAAACACCATAGGAACCATTGGGAATAATGGGACCATGGTTGTAGTCAAAGAGGAGGAATTCTCAAATTAAGACAAAACTGCAGCCTACGAATCTTTTTATTTTTTGAAGACTTTGCCTTCTATTTAACTGAAATGTTTAAGACAGTAATTGTCCTGTAGCTTTACTTTTCTCCTCCTTACAGAAACCTACCTGGTATCTGCCCTGAAGAGCATGACTGCATGCAGAAGCTGACAGTGTGGGGGTAGTAGGTGAATATCTATATTAGGGTTTCACTCACACAGTGTACAGGAAAGTGTCTGGAGTGGCCTTCAAACAGAACAAATGGATGTGACTGTGACTCACAAAATAGCAGCAACATTTATGAAATCCTGTCGTGAATGAAGTGACAGCACTGGACTTGATTATTAATTAATCCTCTGTGGCGTTGCTCATGGCAGGCCAGATGGTATAAAGAAGCAACAGGAGTGCTCCATCATGTCACACAAGAACTTTAAATTCTGGTGAAAGGGCATTTATTCACTAAATGGTCCAAGAAGTTATCTAATTATTATAGCCAATGGTTTAGCAGGGAGACAGAAAATTGACCCATTACTTCAAAATGTACTTAAGTAAAACAACGAACTGTGTATGCTGGAAATCTGAAACAAAAACAGAAGTTGCTGGAGAAACTCAGCATATCTGACAAGATCTGTGGAGAGAAAGCAGAATTAATGTTTCGAGACCACCCTTCCTTAGTATTACTCTGCTATCTCCTTGTTTTCTCTCCACAGATGCTTCCAGACCTGCTAAGCATCTCCAGCAGTTTCTGCTTTTGTTTCAATATGTGCTGCTGTATTGCTTTAAGACAACCACATGTTATTTTTGTAAATCTTTCTGGGACTTAAAGATCAATTGCAGAGTGGTGGATAATACATCAGGTTTTATGTGTGACTCCTGAAAAGTTAATAAAAAGTATTTCTTGTTGCTGGACAAGATTTCTGTTTCTTCAATCATCAGTTGGGGATTTAGACTTGCTGTTGGTAGCTAAGTGTAGCTCACTACTTCAAAATTGACATTTTGACCTTGCATATGTCATTAAAATGATGTGTTTGACTGCCTCTTATAAAACTCAACGCACATTTTAAATACTATATTTGAGACAATATTGAACTAATGAATCAAACTCTATGCTGATTTGTGAAGAATGTGGGAGTTCCAGCTCCATTCACTACAGGTGAAGCATCAACTTCTTATTTCCCATTAAACAGCCATCAGCCAAGAACAGTTCATTAAGAAAGAAATGTGAGCAATCGAGAAACAGAGAAATGTTGATGTTTCACTCACCTGAAGACCCATTGGGCCAGTTGGACCCACCATGCCCTTGTATCCACGAGGACCCTGTGAAGACAGAAATCATTAGATCAAGAACAGTACTTGAATAACACATGCCGTGAGACCCAGCTGTGCTTGGTCTGGAACAGCATCTGAACTCATCCCATAATTATAGAAGCACTACAGTGTGGAAGCAGGCCATTTGCCCATTGAGTCCACACTGACCCTCTGAAGAGCATCCCACCCAGACCCACCCCAGCCCTGTAACCCTGCATTTCCTACAGATGATCCACCTAGACTACACATGCCTGGATACTACGGGAAATTTAGCATAGTCAATCCACCTAACCTACAGATGTTTGGACTGTGGGAGGAAACCAGAGCACCAGGAGGAAACACATGCAGATACGGGGAGAATGTGTAAACTCCAAACAGACAGTCGCTTGAGGCTGGAATTAAACCCGGTTCCCTGGTGCTGTGAGGCAGCAGTCCTAACCACTGAGCCACCGTGCCACCCTTGGTCACTCTTGTTATGAGGCCTGTCCCGTGTTTGACCAATTATCAATTCAAAGTTCTATTCCATGCTTGGTTTACCCTTAGCTGAAAGCCTATCCATTGCTCGGTTCCCATTTGGGCCCAAACCACCCATGCCCCTGTGTTATGAGCTGTCTAGCTCCAGATGTATGACGCCTTTGCTAAAATTAAAAAGCACATCAGTATTAACACACTCCTTGGTACAGTATTGAGAGATAGGGACCCTAGACAAAGAGGTTTTTGTGCTCTGTTGACATATTTAATTAAAGGAAGTCCACCATTCTCTCCTCACATGTCAAATCAAATTCTCGAGCTACATTTCAAAAACATTGCTTACTCGTTCGCCTTTTGCTCCCATCATGCCAGGGTATCCTCGAAGACCCTGAGGACCCTGAAGTTTAAAAAGAGAAATAAATACATTTTGAAACAAGACGTTTTGAGCTCCAACCTCATTAGCTGCGCATCTAATGTCACCAGTTGCACCCAGGCTGGACTCCCGGCTCCTGAATTCCTGAATACCCTGCCTGGAAATGCATTGGAGTAGAATTCCTGGCCATTCTGGCCCCCGGGCTCAAAGTTTAGCCTTAAATCTCAGGGCCATGGTCATATGTCCAGGATGGACAGATGAGCTGGCTGGTATTCTTTCCCATCTGCTCCACACTGATTTCACCTTGCTGAGTTGAGCAGCATCAGTCTGAGATATTACCAGTTTAACAGAGCGTACGGACATTCAGTCCCATGACAAGGTAATGGATCCTTTCTGGGATTGATTACCTTAGTTAGCAAATGTTTCTGGCTTTTCAGAGGGCCTTGAAGGGCAAACTCTTCACTCACTGCAGCTTGGAATTTGTATGAGTCTTTTAAGGATAAGAAAGACAGAATTTTTTGGGCAAATCTGAAACTGCACCTGTTACATCCACACAACTATCCCCTCCATCCAACAAACTATCCTCCCAATACCCTCCCTACCCACCTACTCCCCCAAAGCAACAACTCATACTCAATATGGCACAAACACCCAAAACCCAACAAACATCTCACCCAGCAGCTACCCTCACCCAATAACATCCAACCCACCCAACAACATCCCTCCAAACACATACCCCTACCTGACAATCCCTACCTAACAATCCCCCCGCCTAACAATTCCTCCTACACAATAAGTTCCTCCTATCCAACATCCCCCCGACCTCCCCAACAATACTCCTCAGCCTCCCTCTCCCCCATATAACCTGCCCCTTGTAATTTTGAATCTTGCCCTGATTGTATCCAGCTCCTTGTGGAATTAACCATGATGGCATGAGGAGCTTCTGCTGGGACTCTCTTTTATATGTAATATGAAGGAGAGTGAGGATCTTTGAATATTTGAATTCTAGGCTTGCAAATCATTTGCTCACAATTTGCTTACTGCTTAATCATCACTTCCAAATATTTCACTATATAAATTCAGGGGGGTTTCTCTGTTTCTGTAATCTCTAGATCAATGCAAAGCTAAACTTTACTGAAAAGACGTAATATCTCATCATGTTGAAGCCTTGACCCCATCACTCTGTACTGGTAAACTCACAACAGACCAAACTAAGGGGGCAATTTCCATAGATCACCTCCCTTAATAGGTCAGCTTCAGATTATTCTCCATAGTTAACCAAACAAGAGATCAGCCTCATGCCTTCCTCTGTCCTAATCTCCTCGTAGGTATACATGTAACTTTTGGAAGCTGCCCACAAGAAGCAGTAAGCAAAAATAATTTACTGGTTGGCCTGGAATGCCTTGTTCTCCTGAGATGCCAGTAGAACCTTTAATGCCCTACAAAGAAAGAGAAAACAAAACATTAATTTTGTCAATGATAATCATTTCCAAAATGCACAACATAATTTGGTCATGTTATAGCCAAATGCCAACAGTTTGCAGATCACTCTGGAGGTACGACTGAATCATCACACAACAGATTGCTTCAAGAATTAGTGATTGGTTTACAGTGGGCCAGTGAAGACCACCCTAATGGACATGTTGAAGAAAATAATTCATCCTGCAAAATATTCCCAAGATGGGTCATTTCACCTGATGTTTGTACAGACATTCATTTTGGTACCATAAGTAAGTTGTTTATGAAAAGGAAAGAACTTTGTGTCATTATATAATATTTAGGGTAAAATATAGTCACACATGTGTATTGTTACATAATTTACCATATTATACCAATTAATAAAGATTATGCTATTGTATAAAATATAGTCTTAAACCAAAAGTTACTGTTATTATATCATAAAGGTGTTATACTCATTATACAGTATTATTATATACTTCAGTTTACATAGCAACACAAGGTATTTCATTTAAAAATATAGTTATAATGTATAATACTTTATTACATAATATATGCAGCATTATGTCCATTAATAGACTATGTGTTATTACATATCATATGTTATACTAAGCAACACATAGTTTGTTATTACATCATGTGTTCAACACAGTAACACTTGATAAGTGACATAATACATAGTGCTACACCACATAACATAGTGTTCTTATAGAATATATTTACTGTATTGCTACACTCAGTAACACATGTTATGATATACAACATTTCATGTTGTACTTAACAACAAATGGTGTGTATCTATAGAATACATACACCCAGTAACAAATGGTGTGTCATTACATAATATATGCATATGTTACACTTAGTAACACATGGTATGTTATTATACAATTATATCTACAATGGTATACCCAGTAACTCTATATAACTATGCAATGTATGAAGTTAAAGTCAGTAACAAGTGTGTTGTCATATAATACAGTATTATAAGGTCAAGTTGCCATAGTTCCCAAGGGCCATAAGACTGCTCTCTCTCATCAGAACGAGACAGCTGGTAGTGGTTTAACCTGAGGATCACCACACCCGCAGTTCAGAAGGCGGGACCCCCAGGGTAACTTCAGCCTGTACGGAAATTGAATCTACATTGTTGGCATCAGTCTATATCACAAACCAGTTACCCAGCCAACTAAGCTAACCAACTCCAGCTTTATAAACAAGAGTGCACAACTGTGTATGCTGTGTATGTAGAGGTATTACACACAATATGAAGTGTGTTATTATACAGCATTACATGCATTATTATTACATAATATATACAATGCTATCCTTGGTATTGTTAGCATTTAATATTTAGTGTTAAACGGCGTAGCATATAATGCACATAATCTAGGGTTATACCCAGTGATTTACATTCAAATTATTTAAAATATATACACGTGTTTGAGCCAGGAACACACTGTTATGCAATGTGCGTTATACACAGTGCGATGTCCAGTAACACAGAATATATACAGTCGGTTACACGGAGTAGCATATGGAATGTTAATATGTAATATATATCCAATAACTCATTGTGTTACTGTACAATATATAGTGTTATATTCAGTAACACACAGGATGCTGTTATATTCAGTTCTGCTAATGCATGGTGTGCTATTATACAATATATAGAGTTGTAATCACTAATGCATGGCCTGTAACTACATAATATACACAAGTAAGATAGCCACTACACACTGCTTTCATATAGTACATAGCATTATTCTGAATAGCACACAATGTGTTACTGTCCAAGATATAGTGTTCCACACATTTTGTTTTATTACGGACTACATATGGTGTTATAGCCAGTAACATATGGTGAATTATATATGCAGTGTTATACCAAGTAATATGTTGCTATTGTCTAACATATACCACATTTTACTGATTAACTTTTTGTGCAACATTACATAATAGATAAAGGATTGCAATATCGAATAATAAACATTGTGCCATTATTTAAGTAGTGTGTTGTAGCCAGTAAGGCACAGCACATTATTGCATACTACATACAGGAGTGTTGTGCCCAGTAATACATTGTATTACATAGGATATGTAGTGTTATACGAGGCTGTGCAAAATGTGTTATTTCATAACATATATGATGTTCCATTTCACAAAGCATGATGTGTTGTTTTAGAATACATGCAGAATGTTATATATTATATCATATACATATATTATATACCATATAACATTCTACATTATGCTAGGGCAATTCTGGGGAGGCAATGGCCTAGTTGTATTATTGCTGAACTGTTAACTCAGAGACCCAGATAACATTCTGGGGACCCAGGTTCAAATCCCAACACGGCAGATGGTGGAATTTGAATTCACTAAGTATCTGGAATTAAGAATCTAATGATGACCATGAATCCATTGTCGATTGTTGGAAAAACCCATCTGGTTCACTGATGTCCCGTAGGGAAGGAAACTGCCAACCTTACCTGGTCTGGCCTACATGTGACTCCAGACCCACAGCAAAGTGGTTGATACTTAACTGCCCTCTGGGCAATTAGGGATGGGCCATAAATGCTGCCTAGCCAGAGATGCCCTTATCCCGTGAATGAATAAAGAATAAAGAAGTCTTACACCCAATAACACACAGTATTTTAAAAGGGAAGTAGATCAGTTGGAGCTGCAACAAGGGGGAGGGAGAGAAAGAGGAACGTAGTGAACATGGGGGTAAACAGAGGGAGAAGGTGAGGGAGAGGGAGAGGGAGAGGGAGAAGCAGAGGAGGGGGGAGAGGATGGGGAGTGGGTGGGGAGAGGAGGAGGCAGAGGGGAGAGTGAGGGTGAGAGAGGGAGAGATTGAGGGAGAGGGAGAGGAGGAGGGAGTGGGAGAGGAGAGGAAGAGGGAGAGGGGAGGGTGAGGGAGAAGGAGAGGTGAGGAGTGACCCTGGGGTGAATAGTGGGAGCTGAATCTGGAGGTGGAATTCCTGAGGGGACATTATGATTCAACAAGTGGCATGGAGCAAGAGCATTGGCTGCTTAAGAACCAGCTTTTGAGACGGCTCATCGGGAAGCTTTAAACTGATTTGGCGATGGATGGGACACAGAGTAGATGTAAAGTTGATAGTAAGGTCCAATCAGATACAGAAAGAATGCCATGACATTCCAGTAGATGGAGAAGACAAGATAAGACACATGGGAGGTCTGGAAAGCTAAATTGTATCTATTTTAATCTAAGGAGCTTGACTTGTAAGGTGTTTGAACTTAGAGCATTGATCAACATGTGGGAATATGATATTGTTGCAGTCGCTGAGCTATGGTTGAAGGAAGGGCAGGACTGCCAGCTCAACATTCCAAGGTGTAGAACTTTCAAGCAGGATGTGGGCGAAGTAAGAGAGATGGGGACATTGCATTATTGATAAACGAAACTTTCACTGCAGTAGTGAGGCAGGATGTCATAGAAGGGTCTTCAAACGTGGCCATCTGGGTAGAGCTTAGAAATAAAATAGAGGCAATCACTTTGCTGGGATTATACATCAGGCCTCCCAACAGTCAGAGGGGGATAGAGGAGCAGATACGTAAGCAAATCACAGAGAGGTGTACAAGAAACAGGGTTATAGTTTTAACTGGGATTGCCTTAGTGTGAAAGGACCAGATGGGGTGGAATTTTTAAAGTGCAGCAGAAGAGCTTTTTCTGCCAGGACCCACAGAATCCAACTAGAGATGGAATAGTGCTAGACTTAATCCTAGGGAATGAAGCCAGCCGATTGGCTGAAGTTTTAGTGGCCAAGCATTTTGGGGATGGTGACCATAACAGCAAGTTTCAAGGTCATTATGGAAAAGGATAAAGATGGTGTAGAAATTAAGTGTCTAAATTGGGGGAAAGGCTGATTTTAATATCATTAGATGCGATATGGCAAACAAACTGGGAGCAGCTACTTGCAAGTAAGTCTACATTTGGAAACTGTGAGTCTTTTAAAAGTAGTATAGTGAGGGTTCAGGGCCATCGTGTTCCTCTAAGAGTGAAGGGCACGGGCAGCAGGTCCAGGGAGTCCTGGATGTCAAAGGATTTTGAGAATTTCTAAAGAAAAGGAAGGTACAGCACATTAAAACAGGGGAGGCTCTTCAAAAGTATAGACAGTGTAGGGGGTGTTGCTTAAAAAGAAAATTAGGAGGGGAAAGAGGGGCCACAAAATATCTTTGGCAGATGGGATCAAGAAAAACCTCAAGGCTTTTTATCAGTATATTCAGAGTCAGAGAATTACCAGGGAAAGGTTGGGATCTATTACAGACCACCTGTCTGTGGAGCCAGTTGAGGTGGGTGTGGTCGTAAATAAATATTTCTTATCTGTATTCACAGAGAAAGACATTGTAGCTGGGGATTTCAGCTGGGATGGTGAGGTTCTAGACCATTTTAAGGTTAACAAGGAGGTCGTATTAGATGTTTTAGCGCCATAAAGATGCATTAATCCCCAGGGCCTGATGAGATGTATCCCAGGATGCTACGGGAGGCAAGAGAGCAGATTGTTGGGGCCCTGACAGAGATATTTAATACTTTGCTGGTCACAGGTGACTGGAGGATAGCTAATATGGTTCCTTTGTTCAAGCAGGGCAGCAGGGATAGGGCAATCAATGACATATCAGTTTGTTTGATGCCATTAAAAAAGGAAATCATTGGAAAACATTCTGAAGGATAGGGTTAAACAATACTTGGAGAGGCAGGAATTGATCAGGGATAGTCAGCACGGATTAGTTAGAGGAATATCCTGTCAAACTACCTTAATTGAGTTTTTTGAAAAGGTGACTAAATATATTGATAAGGAAAGTGCAATTAATGTGGTTTACAAGGACTCCGGTAAGGACTTTGAGAAGGTCCCTTTAGAACACTGGTCCAAAAGGTAACAGCCCATGAGATCCAAAGTAAGTTGACAAACTGGGTCCAAAATTGGCTTTAAAATTGGAGGCAAAGAGCGATGCTGGAGGATGT